ACAAACTAATTAACTAACAAAAGAGTTAATATTTTTTTATTTTTTTTAATTAATTAATAGCCCATTCTCGTCTATCATATTGATTATAACAAATACAATCTCCAATATAACACCTAGAATTTGGCCAACATTTGCAATCTTTTTTACAATAGTTTTTACATTTTTCACCATTATCATCATTTTGCAATTTGCAAAAATCTGCCAAAAAAACATATGTATTAAGTTTGTCTTTGGAGTCTCCAGCTGCAAAAATAAAACTCATTTAATAAAAATTATTCATTAAAAATAAATTAAATAAAAGTGGTAGTTTTTAAACCTGCACATTTTTGTTGCCATTTATTTTCCATATTGGATAAAACAAAAATTATGTTAGTAAAAAATAATAAAATGTATAATGGTTTCATATTCTGCTAGTACAATCAACTTTTTTTAATAAAATGCAAGAAATCACTAAAATTATTTTTTAATATTAAATTTGTACCTATATGTTGTTGAAAATTAAAATTTTGAAATGCCACAAATACAAAACAATAATTGCAAAACTTTATATTTTTTGTTGTATGTTTTATTTTGGAATTTAAAAGAATAGATCAAATTAATAATATTATTGTTGCAATTCTAGTATTAATGCTTTAAAATTCCAATTTTGTTTGTATTTTATTATTTATATAAATTATAATTTATATAAAAATTCATATAAAAATATGAATTACAAAAATATATTTGTAAAAAATATTATATAAATTTAACAAAAATTGTGTTATTTGAAAATTGTTTCAATTTCAAAAATATTTATAAACTTTCTACAAAATTGTTGTTATATAATATTTAGTAATACAATTTTTGCATAAAAAATTTGAATACAAGATGAAATCTCTATTAATTTTCCTTGTACTATTTTCATCAATAAATTTTATTATTTGTACAATACCAGAAGAATGGGAAAAAATTTGCAAAGGTAAATAACTAAATTATAATTTCTAAATATTTTTAACTATTATATAATTATTTTTAGAAAGTGATTCAAATTCTTCTATTATAACTTATATAAAATTGCAAAGACATTGCAATTTAAATGGAGGCAAAGATACAAGTCAGAAAAAACATAAATGTAAAGAATATTGTTTAAATAGTTGCAATCATTGGATTTTAGGAGATTGTCATGGAATAGATTGTATTTGTTATAATTATCATGATAGAATGGTTCAAACTATAAAAAATAAATTTAAAAGATAAAATTATCCCTAAAAAATTATATACTAAATTTTTATTTATGATCAAATTTTATATAAAAATTCAAAAACAAAATAATATATATACATATATATATATATATATATATATATATATTTATATGTCTTTTACAATATTTAATGTGTATAATTATATATATATATATATATATATATTAATTAAAAAAGATCTATAAATATCAAAATTAATTTTATTCGATAGAAAGAACATTTAATAAGACGTTGTATAAATATAATAAAAATTTAAATTTTTAGATGTATTATTATATATACATAAATCTAAATATTTACATATATTACACTTTGCAATATATTTAAATAAATCTAACAAATAACTGAATTAAAATTTAAGAAATAATTAATTAGGTTTTCACAAATTAAAAACGTATCATAAACAAGAAAATACTTATACAATTACTTAGTGTACTGTAAATGATATTTAAAAATTATTTGTTTTTTATGTTTATAGTTTTGTTTTAATTTTTATTGAATTTGATAATGATTTTTTATTTTAAATGTATAAATAAAAATAAATGATTAAAATTAATTCAAGAATTATTACAAATTTAAATGAAATAACAATGATGTTTTAGACAAAATGAGTGAATTCTGGTTCACATAAATATAAATAAATTTTATTAATTTTATTAATTATAACAATAACAAGTTGTAGGAATTTGATCATAACATAAAGATCCACATATTCCATTTGGAAATGACTTTGTTTTACAATGATCTCTACATTTTGTACTTGCTGAACTACCAACACAAATATTTGGAAATTCTTTTGGCGTCCTTGAACCTAAAATTAAACATATTTTTTAAATAAAATTATGTAATATAATAATGAATTACATCGACAATAAAAAACAACTAAAAATATTATAAATCAATATGTCTAACCTTGATTTTTATCACAAGGTGTACTCTTTTTTGTACCAATACTTAATTGTATACTAAATATTATTAAAAATAATAACAAAACATACTTCATTTTAATAAAATTTTATTTTACTACGCAGTAATTTTATTTTTAGCACAATTATTATACATATACAATATTAAATATTAACTAAACTATAATAAAATGTCTACACTTTACGTTTACTAATTTATTTTGCAATAAATTTATCAACCAGAAATGTAATAAATATATATAATATGATATAAAATTTAATATTTACGTCAAAGATATTATTTTATACTATATATTTATTAGCTTGAATATTTAAATTTTATATTACATTATATATTTTCTTCTTGTTTTGTATCTTAACTAAATTAACTTTAAGAATTTTGTATATATATTTCTGGCCGTTATTAGTAGATTATTCTCTGTATTCTATTATTTGGAAAAGTTTTTAATTTTAATTTTTTAGAATCATATAAAATATAAAAAATCAGATATCATATAAAAAATATATTAATAAAAATTTCATTTAAAAAAAAAAACAGAACAATGCAAAATAATTTTAGTAAACACAGTTTTTGCTATAAAACATTTAATTTATGTAGTATAAATATAAATATGTACTATTTTTTTTAATTTACAAAATTGATTGAATCTTTAGAAAAAAAAATCATTATATAGGTAAGAAATATTTTGTACGTTTTGACATTAAGTTTGTGTCATCATTCGGCAGTCTTAGGATTTTATAGAATACTCATGTTTAATTCGCAACATTTTCAATATATATTTTCTCAATGAGAGCTTTTGTATGATATAGTTATTTATATATGTATATATGTATATATATATATAATAAGATTTTTTTACAAAAGCTATTAAATCGAGTTAATCGAAAAGCAAAAACGTTCCTTCGAGTCATCTTTAATAAATTATTTCATTTAACAAAAAATCTGACAAACTGACAAATGACTTTGTACAATATGGACTTGATAATAGTCTTTTTCAATATATATATATATATATATATATATATATAATAGGATTTCGAAAAACCTTGATCAATAAATTGAATTTACAACTTGCAAAAAACTAATAATACCACTATTGATGGAACCTGTATTTTGTATGTTTTTATTCATATTTTGTACTGAATTGCATGTACTACTTTCTTATATTAATCAATTTATTTCTAACTTATTTTTTCCAACCTATAATTGCATGCAAAATATTTAATTTTGGATATATATCACCGTCTTCATAAATTTTTCATTTTATTTATTTCTAAACAAAAGATCTGCTTTTTAATAATAATAACTGTTATATTTAGAAATTATGTGATAATAATTTTGTTACCAAAAATGTATTATTTTTTTATAATATCATTGTCAAGTATGATATAATTTTTGCCTTATTTATTTCTAGAACTACCAATCGCCTATGTATTTATAACAATTAATCATTTATTCATGTTATTTATTATTATATATGTTATATTGATTTTGTCACAATATATTAAATATATTATTATTTATTATATATGTTATTAAAATTGTATTAATTTATTTTTTTCCATTTTCAGATAAAAAACAATCTACAAACAAAAAACTGCCTTAAAGAATGCATTTTATTAAAATTAAACAAATTACAATAATTAAAATAAAACATATATAAATTATTCAAAATAAACTTAAAATATTTTACTCCAAATTTTTGAATAAACCATCACTGCCTTATATAAATAATATCAAATTAAATATTATATATAAAATAAATAATATATCCATCAAATACATAAAATAATGTTCATATATTAAATATATATAAAAAAATCTATAAATTTTATAAAAATTTCAATCATGTTGCCTTAAATTTAAAAATATTTAATTACTGCCTTATATAAATGAAACATAAAATATAAATAAAAATATAAATAAATTTCAATAATTAATAAAAAATATTTTGTATATTACTTAAATATATAAGCAGATAAAATTAAATATATATAAATATATAATAAAATAATAATCTCAGATCTTAAATCACTCAGATTTTAAATCATTTTCAAAAAAAACAGTATTTTTTATATTTATATACAACATAATAGTATTATTTTATTTTAATACATTTTAACCTATATTTGAACAAACTTAAATATTTAATATTTTGTAAATTTAAATATTTGTAAATTTAATTGTAAAAGAAATATATAAATAAGTATTAAATTATTTAAACAAATTTTTAATATAAATTTATTGTTTTATTATATATATTTATATATTTTATTTCAATAAAAAATAAGAAATATTTAAACATATTTATTACTAATAAATATATGGGACTAAAGTTTTCTCAAAATTTTATATTTATTATTAGTTATGTTAGCAAATTTTAATTGCTAATACTTTTAAAAACTATATAACTATTTAGTATTCAAATTATAAAACAATTATTAATATTTAATAAATTAATACGAATTTATAATAAATATTATATATATAAACAGGCAAATTTTGGTCAAAAATCTAAAACGAGTTTGTACTCTTTAAATTATACAAATTATATATATTTATATTTATGTGCAATTTATATGTATTTAAACATGCTAAAGTAGAAATCAAATAAACAATATTTACATTTATATAAATTTTCAAATTTAATTTAAACCTTTAATACATTATTTAAACAAAGACGAAGTCTATCACAAAAAATGAGTTCAAAATTGAATTTAGTATTTTAAAATTTTATTTCTTTAACAAAATCCCAAATTTTGTCTTTTCAAACGTTTATTACACATTTAATTAAATTAAAAAAAATTGTTACCCTTATTTCTATTAAAAATGCGTCTTTTCCGCAAAACAAATTCCCAAGAACACCAAATTCTTCCTCAATTCGAACGAAAAAATTCGAGTTCGAGCGAAAGTGAAAATGGTGGATTTTTAAAAATGACAAAATCCGAACTGGATTTGAGATATTGTCACAAAATGGACAACAGGATAAAAAATCCAGAAATCCAGAAATCAGGAGCCAACCAGAGGGATTTTGATGACCACAAGGATAATAAAAGAGGTGAAGTATATGTTAATTATATATATACTAGCTGATCCGGCAAACGTTGTTTTGTCATCAAAATATTTGCCGCTTTGCAGAAGTTCTTATAATATACGTGATATATTAAAAATAATGTTATATTTTTATTACACAAATTTCTTTACATTTCGATAATTAATTCCAACGCTTCATAGTGGTTTGTTTATTTTAATTTTATTTATGTCAAATAGTGACTTTTTTTATTCAATGTATAAATTAGATTTTAGTCTGAATCAACGCAGTACCATTATCTAAATATATAATTTTAAATATAAATATTAGATTTTTTACTTTTGCATTTAATTTAAAAATATTGAATGTCAATTTTATATATCCAATATGCACTAAATTTTTAAATGCCAAAATATCTCCTTCTTGGTCGAAATTTAATATAATATGATATAATTTATATCTATAATTTAATCGGCAATATTGCCTATAACATAACTTGGAATAATTAATTTATTTGTTTCTTATTGAAGTCGTTAAAAATTCTTTTTTTTGAACTATCAAAATTTTGTTTATGATTAATGTTAAATTCAATATGTCGCTTTTTTATCGTGATCTATAATGTTTTAATCACTTATCATATAAATTTTCGACTATAAATCGATATTTATTGTTAATATATATATATAATATATATATACAGTGGTGTTGTGCTAATATTTTTTTTGCCGGAACGCTAAAATTTAAAATCCGGTTCAAAAATTTGATATATTTCGATAAGAACTCACAAATCTAATATATTGACTTTTTATATAATTAACTCTGTTATACACAGCTAGTCTATACATTAAATTGTACAAGTATGAGGGAATCATTGAGTACATAATTTATATTCTTCAATGACATTAATCATATTTATTCTGGTGTTATTTGTATTCATTAATACCTACAGTTATTTATTATGATATAAAAGTACTCAAGATTGATTACAATACTTTATAAGACTTAACCTAATAATATGATAGATAACCTATTACCTATCATACTATATTATATTATTGTATATCATCGATAAATATCTATTATCTATCATACCGTGAGATACCTATACCGTCATTAACTTATTATATACCTACAGACCTTTTACTTCTTACTTTATATATTCACCTATACTATATAGGTTTACCTTACGCCCTATGTATTATCTCTACCTATCTATTGCCTATACCGGGAATTGAACCCGGGACCTCCGCGTGGAAGTCGCGCACCTTAACCATTACCCTATCGGGTGCCCCCACTAATAATATAATATGGGACGCACTGTTGTTTCCGCGGGTCATTTTCTAATTAATTAGATAATTAATACTGAGGTGCGCGCGACGACACGCGAAAAAAGACGGTTGATTGTAGCGTTACGGTGGTGTAGTGGATAAGGTCGTCGCGTGCCACGCGGCGGACCCGGGTTCGAATCTCGGTAGGGTTAATGTAGCGTGTAAGGAAAATTATAGGTAATAGGATATATAGTAGATATAGGTTAGGTGTATTCGGTATATACCTAATGTAGTACAATGTAGGGATTTGAGAGTATATAATGAAATATAGCGTACGGTACAGATGTAAGGCGTGTAGTATAGAATGCAACGTATAGGCACACGTAAGGCTATAAAAATACGTGAATAGGAACCTATGATGTAGATGTTAGCGTATAAGAAATGCGAATGAATGTAAGATTTAATTTACAAATATTATTTTTTCTATAAGAAGTTCATACACCTCAATTTGTTACTAAATTAAAAACGACTTTGATAAAACCAGTGGTTTTGTGCTAATATTTTTTTCCGGAACGCTAAAATTTAAAAACCGGTTTTTATGTTTTTCCAGTTCCATTCGAAAAGGAAAGAAACAAAAAATTATTACAAAACCCATTTTGTGCACATATATGTATGTTTATTACAATAATAACATTTAATAAAAATTAGTTGAATAATAACGTATAAAATTTACTTATTAAATCATTTTCTGTATGTAGCGATGTTTTTATATTTTTTCTTGCCGGAACGCGTTCCGCCCCAAAAATGATTTGCTGGAACGACGTTTATTACAATAATAAGAACATTTGATAAAAATTAGTTGAATAATAATTTATAAAATATACTTATTAAATCATTTTCTGTATGTAGCGATGTTTTTATATTTTTTCTTGCCGGAACGCGTTCCGGCTCAAAAATGATTTGCCGGAACGACGTTCCGGCGCGTTCCGGCTCGACAACACCACTGTATATATATATATATATATATATATATATATATATATGTATATATTGTCATATTTACCCCTTAGGTTTCACCTGGGGTCGAAAAATGGGTAAAAAGTTGGATATTTTACGAAGACCATCTGTTGACGTGGCTACACATGAGCAACAACGTGTTGAAACTCAAATTTTTAGGAAAAACCTTCGTGGAGATTTGGCAAAACATACAAGCCTAATGATAATGTTATTAATGTGAATAATAACACGTTGCACGGCAGCAAATATAACACTTTGAGGAACTCCATACATGGGTTCGAAGGATTTGATAAAAGTAAACAAATCGGTAAGTAGAAATAGACAGATATATATTTATATTTATATTTATATTTATACTAGCTGACCCGGCAAACGTTGTTTTGCTAAGTAAGGTATATTCTGAACAATTTATAGAGAATCAAAAATATTAATACTTTAAGTGTATAAAGATGTGTTGTTTGAATGCTGTATACAATGAGGTATTATAAAAACAATAAACCCCATTCGTTTGTCTATATATTTTGTCAATACAATCAAACTGCAAGTTTTATACACTTTCTATAGAAAACAATATGATATAATCCGATCCAAGTCTTTTTTGGTCTTTCGAATTATTGATTACGTTTCGAGTTTTCGAGATTTTTTTTTGGATTCTGGATTTTGTGTATAATTGTAAATAATACTACTGAACTTATAAAAAAATTCCAAATTTCTCCGAAGAAAGATAGAAAATGAATTAAGTATTTCTTCTTTGACCTGCTTTTTGAAAAGATTCAAGTAACATTCGATGAAGTAAAGTAAATTTAATAAAAAGTATATATGTAGAGCAGGGCGAAGCACAATGGTCCAATTTGACTTTGAGCAAATATTAATTATATTATAAAAACCAAACCAATTATATCACAACAAACAATACATTTCAGACGAACAATTATCTGACTACGTTCAGTAAAAGTTACTTCATCATTGTAGAAATGTGCTTTTTTATGTCTTTCAAAAATTTGTTATCGAGACCTTTTTACCCCATATGCGGGGTAACTTGTAACGGAGAGGTGGCAAAAGGTTTAAAGCCTTATTATAATTTTAAAGGTATTTTACAAAATAATAACCATTTTAAGTAATGCTGAAAAACTACCAACGGAAGAAAATACTTTTATTATGGATTTTCAAAGATTACTGTTTATCTTCCGATAGCAAAGTCATAAGAATCTAGCTTATAGCTGGTTATACATCTTTTTCCCTCTACTTTCAAATATTGTTGTAAAACAATGCTTAATTGTACTGGTTTTTGACACATCGGTGGTGGACCTTTTCAACCCCGGACCTTCATATATTACTATATATTCTTCAATAAATTCCGGAAATTTATAACTGGGAATATGTTATTCGGCAAAATGTCCCTTTGATCGATACCAAATTTAGGTTCTGAATTTAAATAACATATATAAATAATAATATAACTTAGAAAATGCTTTATAAATACCAATGAGTATATAATTATAGAAATGACATCTTTCAGAACACCGTGTTTGAGAAAAATATGCCAAAAAGTGCATTTTCATATTAACATTTCAAAAAAGTTGATGTTTTGAGTCTCTAGTAACACTTGCAATCCATTTACTAACGTTAAAACTACAAACAAATTTACTTACTACAATTTAATCATAATTAAATAATATTCACGTAAAGCATCATATTAAACGTAAATAAACATCATCTGTCAAAAACGTTTGACATTTGACGTATTAGCCACCGTCCATTGTTTTATTTAAATTAAGCTTCTATAAAAAATTTCAAATTAAAAATGTAAAGTTTCTACGCGATTTTGAAATAATATCTCACCTTTCCGGCAACCTACTGATTGCCACGAATTTTTCAAGACTAAGACTGGCCAAATCGGTTTAGCCGTTTTCGAGTTTTACCGAATCATTTGATCGAGAGCTCCATTTTTATATATATAAGATTTGACCCAACCAATAACATCATAAAATTTTTTTTGACCATCTATCTTTTACCTCAGGAGGTTCTGCAAGTTGTCTCCTCTATCCATCATCTGACAACCCTCAAAACAAAAGCACAATTGCTGAAGATATCAGAAGAATGTTCAGCAGAACTTCCAGTATGGGACTGCTGGTCACAAATACACAACCACAAAATTTCCAAGCAGACCAACAAATAAATTTAGAGGTAACTTGTAGGGTTTATACAAAAACCGACATTTCAGAAAACCGGTTTTCGAATTTTAATTTTACTAAAAAACCGGTTTTAACCGGTTTTCGAATTTTATATAGAAAATAAATTTTTGCTCGAATATTCTGTATTTATCCGAAAATTTAGTGTAATTTAGAGCAGTATTTGACTGAATTTATTTATTGTTCAATTTTATGGATAGTAAACAAAATTATTTTAAGTTTAATTAGTAGAACTAAAAATAATAGCTTATCTTGATTAAATAACTTTGAAAATAATTATTCGTTATTCATGCATCATTTTCATATATAAGAATGAAAATATTTTATCATAGTGAAAGGAAAGTTTCCGAATAAATAAAAATAATACATTTTTAAATAAAAAAATTCATTAAATAAAAATAAATAAAAAAATATTAGATACATGTTGATACATACTTGCTAATATCATTTTAGTTTTAAAAACAATTGAGCTAAACTCGGGTATAGCTGTTTCGAGCAATTTTAACTAATTAATTTTAAACATTCTAATTGTTTTTTGTTTAATAAAATATGATTTCAAAAAACTGAGAACGTCTATAGAATTGCTACTTAGACGTGTCTTTGTTTACTCACAAAATTTCCTGGAATAGAAAATACTCTCATACTTGCGACCAAATTATGCTTAATTATTTTAAAGCCTGATATAATAATTCTAAGTTTTTGGTTTTTTTATTTGTGGCTTCTAGGGTTTAAAACTCTTTTTTTTAAGTTTGAGTAGAGGAAGTTACTTCTTCAAGAAGAAGACACACTGAATTAAATTAATACATACACTGGTATAAAAATCTAAATTAATATATATAAAACCTTTCTGGGAACCATTGCAGACTGATAAGATATCAAATGCTATTGAATCGATATGATTTTGAGAATCAAAACGCTTTCATCTATCGTTTATATTTGGCTATATACTTGTCATTTTCCATTTATACAGTGAAAACCGACTTTTTTCACTAAAAAACGGTTTTCGAATTCCATAATTTTCGCCAAAAAACCGGTTTTTAAAACCGGTTTTTAAAAATCGACAAACCCTAGTAACTTGGTAAAACTTGGCAGTATAGTTTTACCAAGTTACTAGGGTTTATTGCAAGTGTTAAATATTTTTTTCTATTTGCAGCCTTCAAATCCTTTGTACAGATCCTTGTCGACATCCCAACTTACAGCTTCGTCTTATATCAGATGTGATGACCCTACAGATGGTGTCTTTTTTAACCAGAAAAAAGACCAGAAGAAGTCTGAGGGTAGTAAAATTTGTTTGCAAAGTTCTGAGGGCACAAATACCATCAGGAGGAAGTCTAAAGCCTCCAGTTGTGATGATTTGGCTGCTGGTGAAGGTATTTACCAGGCAAAAATCGTAGACAATCACCTGCAATGTCTTAAAAATATTTTCTATCCAGGTATTGAAGATACTTCTCACCAGCAACAAGTGCAATTTAAGCGTGCAAATTTTCCTTACGCCTTTTTGAGAAGTTCCAAATTATCAGCTTTACCTGAAGAAGGTGGTAAGGATATTATGAACAATGTTGAACCAAGTATTTATTAAAAATTTATCTTTTTTTAGATTGTAACCAGCAAATGTTATCACGAACAGGCAGAGATTCATCTTTATCCATAAGATCAGAAGCACCTTGTCTCAGGAACAAAAACTGGTACCCAGAACATGATCTAATTTTTGATCCAGTAATGTCCAACAGACGAAGGTAATTATAATGAGTATCATCTATTTTATCTTGCTGTTTTTTTTTAAGTAAAACTTTTTTAAGTACGACTAGGGACTAGGGAGTAAATCTGTGCTTGCATTTGTGAAAAAGTATGTTTAGCAATATATAGAAAACTCGGGACATTTTTTTGGTTTTTGTTAAATAACTCACAAATTTTATATGCAAGCACTTTTTTTAAGTTAGATAGGGTGCAACTAGATCAAATTTACTTCGTTTTCATTAAAACAGTTATATACACTCCGATATAAAGGATTTGAATTAAACGACTTTGAATTTGATATTTCATTATTTAGCAATAAATAAAAAAACTCGGAACATTTTTTTGGTCAATTCTTACACCTTGCAACTTGTCTTAAGGCTAAATGCCACTTTCAACTAGTTTATATTTCGATTTTAAAATATATTTATTATAACATAACATTATCTAGTATATTTTTATTATTATTATATTGTTACAAAACATAGTACGATTGTTACAAAACATAGTACGATTGTTACAAAACATAGTACGATTGTTGTACCAAATATAGTTTCAAATACCTGAATTACTAAAATTAATTTAATTTTAAATAAAATTAAGTTAATTTTCATTTCAAATTTAACGCCATTAATTTAAATGCTAAAAGCAGCACTAGATAATATTATAATATAATATTATCTAGTATATATTTGTTATTATCGTATCATTACAAAACATAATACGAGTGTAATTCCAAATCTAGTTTCAAATACCTGATTGCTGAAATTTGTTAATTTTTATTTCAAATTTAGCGCCATTAATTTGAATGCCAAAAGCAACACTAGATAATATTATAATATAATATTATCTAGTATATTTTTATTATTATTATATTATTACAAGACATAATACGAGTGTAATACCAAGTTCAGTTTCGAATATCCGATTACTAAAATTCGTTAAATTTCAATTCAAACTTAGTGCCATTAATTTGAATGCCAAAAGCAGCGCTAGATAATATTATAATATAATATTATCTAGTATATTTTTATTATTATTGTACTATTACAAAACATAATACGAGTGTAATACCAAATTTAGTTTCAATTACATTCGTTAATTTTCATTTCAAATTTAGCGCCATTAATTTGAACGTCAAAAGCAGCGCCCTCGCGTCTGAGTGGAGGACGCTTTAACTATTCATTCTGAATGTAAAAATCGAGAGGGAAAAATGGCCGAAATGTCGTTATAGATTTTAAGGTTACGTGATATTAAAAATCTTGATTTTATAAAAAATGTGTGGATTAGAAGAATATTTTATGTCGTCTTTAGTTAATAATTATAGTGAGAATAACAAAACAAGTGAAAAATCTGTGCTGTGTAAAAAATGTAAGATTATTGAAATAATTTGTGTTGTTCGTGGTTGCTATATATTTTTGAGGTTATGAAAATGAAAGTTATTTTTATTGGCAAGACAGTTATTAAAGCTGTTCAAACAATGAGACTGTATTCCCAGCGAAAAAGCAGAAAAAAAAACAAGCAGGCAATGAGTGTATGTCAATTTTAATTACACAAAGTTCTTCAAACACAATTATTACATGGTGAGTGAAGTTGCGAAAACAATATTTGTTTAGGCGTTGTTTTACATAATCCACTGTGTGAACGAATATTATAGAATTTATTAATCAGCAATTACTTCATTTCTCTCTAATGAAGGTCCAAGTCCTAAATTCTAATTACAATGACAAACCGATCATGTCGTATTTGAAGTATGACTTTAATTACATCATCGTATTATCAATATATAATTTATAATTCATTATTATATAAATATGTATAATGGTTGACATTACTAAATGTCTGCATCACGAGTGTTACCATATGCATTTATTTTACAAAAAAGTTTTACTTCAATCGCACTCTTTTTTTATCAGATCATCAGCAGTATCTTTGGACCAAAGTTTTGCTGCAGCTTCATTGTTTGCTAATGGTAATAATTTAAATCAATCAAGACGACGTTGTTCTATTGCTGAATTGGGTATCAGTCATCCAAGAACCACAGACCAAGATGTTTTACGTCCAAGAAGATTTTCCACAGATTTGGTTTTGGACAATAAGAAAGCATTTGTTAGAACTTGGGGACGAGGTAAGTTGATACATCTGTGTGTTTTGTTCATGGTTTTTATGTGTCTTTTATTTTTTTAGGTAGAACTGATGTCTCCAGCAACGAATCAGGATACGACAGCGATGGTGGAGGTGGCGGGTTGAAGATTCTTGTTAATTCTAATAATTCCAATGCTGGTGTGTCGAATAAGGCAAGTCGGGTGCAGGATTTGGATGCTGATAGTGGTGTCAACGAAGGATCGGTAAGTTTGTACTTGCATTTATCATATCACATTCAAAGTCCAACTTTTATATTGGAGTGTATATAACTGTTTTAATGAAAATGTAGTAAATTTTATCTAGTTTTACCCTATGTAACTTAAAAAGGGTGCTTGCATATAAAATTTGTGAGTTATTTGACAAAAACCAAAAAAATGACCCGAGTTTTCTACATATTTATTGCTAAATAATAAAATATCAAATTCATAGTCGTTTTATTCAAAACTTTTATATCGGAGTGTATATAACTGTTTTAATGGAAATGTAGTAAATTTTATCTAGTATATAAAATTTGTGAGCAAAAACCAAAAATCTTCAAAATTAGAATTAAATACAGAAATGTACCATCATAAACTAAAATATACTTGATACGGAACCCTACAATTTTTTTAGCTAGAAATTTGAATTGGGCTCATCAAGACCTTTTCAATGAATACCCACATGCCCATATTTGACGTGACAGATACAGAAATATACTTGGTACGGAACCCTGCAATTGTTTGAGCTAGAAATTTGAATTGGGCTCATCAAGACCTTTTCAACGAGTACCCACATGCCCATATTTGACATGACAGATACAGAAATATACTATCATAAACTAAAATATACTTGGTACGGAACCCTATTATTTTTTGAACTAGAAATTTGAATTGGGCTCATCAAGACCTTTTAAATGAGTACCCACATGCCCATATTTGACGTGACAGATACAGAAATATACTATCATAAACTAAAATATACTTGGTACGGAACCCTACATTTTTTTTAGCTAGAAATTTGAATAGGGCTCATCAAGACCTTTTAAATGAGTACCCACATGCCCATATTTGACGTGACAGATACAGAAATATACTATCATAAACTAAAATATACTTGGTACGGAACCCTATGTTTTTTTGAACTTGAAATCAAGACTTTTCAAATGAGTACCCACATGCCTATAATTGACGTACCAACGTTTTGGTCTATTTTGGCCCACTGTACTATATAAAGTTCAGCAAATAGTTTATGTACTTATTTATTACAACTCTTGTAACTTTAAAACTATTTGTCCAATGAAAATGTAATATTTGACAAATTTACTACCAGCAATTTTCCCTAAAGCACCATGCCATATACCACTAGTTTTACATTTTTAACTTCCCGTAGGGTAAGTTATAGTAATCGCAAAAAAATCGAAAATGAAAATTTTTATGTTTTTACGTTTCAGAGGTTTCTGAATATTTTGGCATACCTTAGAAAAAATGGATGTATGTGTGTACAAATTTTCGTCGACGATTTTGAGAACACGGATCAACGGATTTGAATAATTCAAAAAACATTAGATTCGTATTGATAAGGAAACGTGCTGATTACTTTTTGGCGAAGGCAGGTTTAGCCGTTCCGAAGATACGGGGCAAAAAGTGCCGAAAACGGTAATTCAGTTTTTAAGAGAACGGAGCGTCGGATTTGAATAATTCAAAAAACATTCTACTTTTATTGACAAGATGAAGATTTGATCAAATTTTTATAAGGGCAGGTTTAGCGGTTTCGGAGATATAACGAAAAAAGTAAAAAAAATGCCATTTGGCGGTCAAAAATGATCATTAGACATATGCCCATCAAATTATCAGATATTTTATAGAGATTTTAACAATAAGTATAAATTTTGTCTACATTCCTATGGGTTCCGTACCAATGCTTATGCGTTAGACAGCGACGCGGCGCTTACGCGCTTTATATTTTGTCTCTATGCATTTAAAGCAGTACGATTGCTTTGAAAAAAAGTTCAGATCTTCCAACATATGTCAAAATAAAGAAAACATTTTTTTTTCAAAAAAAAAAATTTAATTAATTTTTTTTTTTCAATTTTTTTTTTTACAAAAAAGGTAATTTTTTGTCAAATTTATAGTTTCTCAAAAATCTTATTTTTTCGAAGTAATTTTTTTTCAAAAATGTTAATCAGCAATTTGCCTTAAGGCACGATGCCCTAAGGCAGAATTCCACTTACAGCTAGTTATTTTTTACTTGCAGGCTTGTTCTGATGGCAGTTCTTTGCACGATTCAGAATCCTCTCTGGGAACTACTGTTGGTGAAGTTTTGGACTTTGAGAGCAGGATAACAAGTATTAAGGTAACTACAACAACTGGATAACTAAATAAACCCATACAAATCCATTGACCTTGTTTTATTTTTTTTTTCAGGATAAACGCACCAGGTTTCGTAGGATCATGTTGCAAAAACAATCTGCTAACCAACCATTGGGCATCAGACTTATCAGGATGAACGAGCAGGAACCAAGATACATTATTTCCAAAATTGAACAAGGCTTAGTTGACAGGTACATGGTAAATGATTTAATTCAACCTTCATATTCTTTACCTTTGTGTGTATTTTTCATCAGGGATGGTAGACTCGAGTGGGTGATGAAATTATTTCAGTAAACCAGCAAAATCTTCACGGTCTTCAAAATTTTGATAAAGCCACAGAAATCTTGGCAACACATTCAGGACCTCCTCATTTTTTGGTGGAGCTGATAATTGCACACGAGGAACAACTGTTGGTACAGAGTTGTAAGCCTAAAGTTGAAGCAAAGTGTGGAGATTTGATTGATCTACATGATAATGGGAATGAACCAGGATCTTGGCAGGTGGATGATGGGAAAACTTTGGCACCAGTCAGGATTTGAACCAGCCAGATCCAATTGATACCAAAAAAGTAGCATCAGGAAATAAGGAAAATGATCTGATGCACTTTAGTGATGACTTTGCTGGTTCTTTAACAGGACCAAGGACTATTAAGAAATTTAAATGCAATGACAACTTGTCTATTTTGGAACCAAAAAATATCTTGGACATGCCTGAATGTACAGAAGATTTTTTGCAAATAAATGTGGAAGAGTTTCAGCATATTTATCCAAATATTATAGTGCACCAAGGATCTTCTAGCAAAAAAACTGGAGTAAACTACAAAACTTGCAGACAACCTTGATGAAAAATCTGGAACTATGTCTATCAGTAGTGACCAAAGTTTCTTTCAAAATCTGCCCGATGCATCAGAAAATTCTGCAGATAACACGACCAAACACAACTCTTGTGCATTTTTGGCAAGCACACCAGAAAAACCTGGTCTGTCTAGAGATAGGGACAAAAGACACCAGTTTTTGGTGGATTTACTTGAACAGGCCGACACAAATCTTGGACCAAATGCCCTGGACCAAAATAAAGACACAAGGAAGCCAGAATTTTGTGCAAATCAAGACACTGTGGACTTTGACACCAATTTACTGGATCCACCACCTAAGACCAAGACCGAGACATCAATTAGCAGTGATCCAGATTTGTCAACTCCAAATTTTTCCTACAAACCTGTATACAGCTCATCAAGTGAACTTCTGGCCAAGAATATCCTATTTTGTGGAAACAAAAACAAGGAATCTCTGGCAAATGATATAAAAGTTCTAGACACCAGTGACCAATATGAGGATGAAGTCTTTGAGGTAAGTTTTAGATTCCTTTATGGTACCCATCCACTAGGCAACCAGGCAACCGAGCAATTTATGACAAAATCACCAATAAATGTCCAATTGTGAAATTTTTTGGTGTCCCAGGCAATAGTACAAAATTTCATTCATTTTTCTTGAACCTTAGAGAAAAAAGTATGTATATTTCGAACGTGTAATGAGATAAAATCGACTTTTGTTGCAAATTTTAGTTCGCTTTCATTTGATTTTAACATTGATTTTTTATATAAAAATTATATTAAAGCTTTTTATTTAATATTAATGTTGTACATTTGCAGCAGATGAATAGTGAATGAATTTTGTCGCGAATAAATAGCTCGAAATATTGTTCAAACGTAGTCCGATAGCAGTTACAATAAATTATTCACGTTTTACATTATATTGGCGCCTAACTTTAACCTGAATCATGGCCTTAATCTTGGAATATACATCTACATTTACAATAATGCCCATAACAAAAAAGGGTCGTGCAATGTTGATTTGAGCAGTAAAATTATTTTCTAATAAAATAACTCATGTTTTTTGAGATGCAAATGAAAAACGAAAAACTTGAAAACAAATTTAATGTTATAATTATTATTAAGGGCAATATTTGATTTTTATTTATATGAATAAAGTGCGGTAAGCTTTATGTATATAATATTAAATTTTTTTGTAGGACGTAAAATATTTCTCATTAAATAATACTACATACCCTTACTATGTAGAAATTTTTTTTAAAGAATA